TGTGATAAAAAAACAAGTTGGGATGATAATTCTAGACAAAACTAAAAAAGGCCGAACTATTTTCAAATCAAGTCCATTTTTTTTTTTTCATTTTGAGTCGATAGTTCACAAAACAAATATGATACTGGGAAGCAAGAAAATATGTTCTATTCAGCCAACTGGTATCACCTACCCATCGGAACGACAAAGTATACTGGATATACTTCTAAAATGGTATTTGAGTTATTATCCTCTGTGGTGCGGTGTTAGCTACTCGATAAATAAGGAAGAGAGGTGTAGCAATGCCATAGTTGAAAATAGGTTTGGTTACATCAATAATGTTTTTCCGAATGGAATTCTAAATAAAAAATGCACTAGATTTCTTCGATTGATAAGACAACGGGTATTTTCAATTCACGAATAAAACAATTGACAATTCCCAGAAAGAACTGTTCGAACAAAAAACGAAAAATTGAAGTGGAAACATGTGAAAAAACAAAAGAGAAGATGACAACTATTTAGAAAAAAGCTCAATAAAACTCGCCATTTAGAAAAAGCCTATCAAAATTGTGAAGCTGTCTAATTCATTAAATGCTGATCCAAAATATTACATTACTTCATCGGCTTACTTTCAGAAAGATAAATTTCATGTGGGCATGTATTCAAACTTGGACGTTCAAATGAATAGTAAAGTTTCTCATGATTTTCATCGGTTGTCTACAAATTCAGGCAATCATACAGATATTTATTTGAGTGATACAAATATTGATATATATCTGGCTATCCACAAGCCAACTAATTTCACTGTTTTTTGTAAACTATCATATTATTTCATTATAAAAGAAGACTCAAAATTTCATCTGGAAAACATTCCATGCGTAAAGGATATTTTTATGTTTACTGTTAATACTGGTAATCATTGGACTCTCATTGTTGCTGACAAAGCAAATCTGAAATTTCATTATATTGATCCACTTGGTTCAAACGCAGAGCAATAACAAATATATTATAATAAATTCATAGCATGTGTACGAACTTATTATAAGAAACGTAGTCTTACAATATGGTCACTCACTAAGATTCCAACTAGGGGCTGGTCTGTTGAATTTATGAAACATATCGAACAAACAGACGACTATAATTGTGGAGTTTTATAAGCAAAATTTGCAATATGAATTTCAACTGGCCAAACATTTCCAACAAAATATTTTTGTACTGATAGATTTGATTGAATATTTCGAGAATATGTCAGAGATTTGCACACTTTGTGGTCGTTCGACTTCAGTTGCAGATGAAACAATTGAATGTATATTTTGTGATCGATGCGATAGATGTTTTCATCAGAATTGTATTGTATTTTTCAAATGAGCTATCTATATAATCTTCGGAAGAAGTCCATGGTAACTCAAAGTGGAGTAGTGTAGTTCATAGATGAAAACCCAAAGTCATCTCCACAACTTTTATTTATCTATATAACCTATAGGATACTAAGTGTGCATGATTTGTAAAGCCTCTTCAGAGTAGAACTCATCAAAATCAACCATTCCACCAAAGATCGTCTTCATAATAGTTGCAAAATACAATCGAACGTTGTAGTAAAATGAAACTTATTGAAAAAAAAGAAAATATGACAAGGATGAAAGAAAATGATTACAGGCGATCTTGGGTCGGGAAATGGTAGGGGTGAAAAACAGATAATCCCGATTTCCGGAAAAACTACAAGTCCTATAGAAAAAAGTTCGGGAGCAAAGTTGTATCTGGTTACAATAAGTTGAATAACTACTGATATTCAACTCATTTCCTGAAAAAAATGTTTATTGGTTTCATTTTGATATAATTATTGTATGTTCATCACGTTCACACCGAACACAAGCATTTTTGTTGACTTGTATATTATTTTCAGTGACAAGTTTTTTTGTGCCGGTCTATACCTTTTCAACTTCAATTTCGGAAGAAGTAATCTCGATTTCAGAATTGGTTAGTTCGATTCCAGAAATGGTAGACTCATTTTCAGAATCGGTGAGATGAATTTCAGAAAAAGTCCATTCAATTTCAGAAATGGTAAGTTGTATTTCAGAATTGGTACGTTCAATTTCAGAAAAAAATCCTTATATTTGTTCGAAATGTTTCCAATGTATGTGAGATTAACAAACCATATTTACAATATTCAACTTGTCAAAAACAATTCAATAACATAATTATAATCTCAATTTAATCCACAGATGCCTTCCATCCGAATCGCTGGAAGATAATAGCGTAGCACATGATTATGAGAATGCAAACACATTTGAGGTGCTATCATTTTCATTGAATGATCTGCACATTCCTCAAGACATCGCAGTCTGAATTCTATCTGGTTGAGCAAGCTGTTCGGATCCCCAGCTATGACCCTTTGGCGATGCTCTTGCAAGAAGCTCTTCACTTCTGACTTGAAGGCACCCCATATATGTTCAATCTGATTCAACATAGGGCTCTCAAACACCGTTCATCCACTGTAAACAATCTTCTCTTTTGCAATTAAAAACATTTCAAACATAAAAAAGGATTTCATCTTCTGAAATTGAACCTACCAATAATAATTCTGAAATACAACTTACCATTTCTGAAATTGAATGGACTTTTTCTGAAATTAATCTCACCGATTCTGAAATTGAGTTTACCATTTCTGAAATCGAACTAACCAATTCTGAAATCGAGATTACTTTTTCCGAAATATAACTCACCGATTCCGAAATTGAAGTTAAAAAGGTATAGAACCACGCTAACGTGGATCTTGTTTTCAGAATTCCAATGTCCCGTGTGGTTATCTTGATTGATCCACGCTATTTCGCGTACAGAATTCCCTCGTGATCAATCCATAGTAGTTTCGCATAAAGGATTAATCCAACTGATTTTTTTCGTCATGAAAATGCATCGGTTATGACTGTGTGAACAACAACGCAGTATCTTCTGAGGTATATAGACTGTATATCAGCGTGGATGAATCAGAAGGGATTAGTCCACGGAAAATCAGCGTGGACTGATCATGAAACAAGGAACAAGATCCACGTTAATGTCGTGGTTCAAGACACGGTCTTTCTATCAATGTTCATCAGATTATTAACCATTATTATGAATACAAGAAGTTACTTATCTTTGATACGAATAGAGATTCATCGTTTTCGTTTCATCAATTGATATTTCCTTCACACCATCACAACATATCACTGGAGCTGATATCTAGAGCAATGAGGACAAGATTTCTTCCTTCTCGGAATGTCACTTTTCCACCTCAGCAAAAACATGAATTTTTACCTATTACTTCTTCATTTTCAGGATTGTCAATTGGAAGAAGAATTGGGGATGATAGCAAGAACTATCGAAATTGCGAGTTTTTTATGCTCGATAAACAACAAAACAACAACAAAACTATTCCTTGATACTCTTGATATAACCTCTCGTTTGTTACGTTGCTTCAAGTTTTCTTTAGTCTGAAAATGCCAGAGCACGTGAAGAATATTGCGATATATTGAGGGAGCGAGGCCTACCCTGGACGCCGAAATAGTATATTACAAAACTAGTGTGGAAAGTGACATATTTCGCGCGAGTGGACGTTTACCACGAGCCGCAGAGCCGCGAGTGCGGAAACGGAACGAGCGCAGGAAATGCACTTTCCAAAGAGTTTTGTATACTATTTTTCCTACGACCACAAATATGTATATTATATGTCATGAGTGTTCATGAGACCAGAGTAGGGATCATGTTTCTTATCATATTCGATCACATGGAGGTTATATCCTTATCATTATTATTTGATTTTACTTCAATATTTTCAAGTGACATCATTAGTTTAACGTTAACTCGACATCAACTCAATATGAACTTAACATTTACTCAACATTAACTTAACGTCAACTTAACATTAACTTAAAATTAACCTAACATTGATTTAGAAACAACTTACCATTAACTCAATAATTATTCAACATTAAATCAACATTAAATCAACATTAACTCAACATTTACTTGACATTACCTCAAAATCAAATTACCATCGATTCAATATCAAATTGACATTAACTTCACATTGATCAATGAATTGCCAATACATTGACATTATTTAAACTTTCAATTGAAATCAACTTGATTTCAACTTTTAATCAACTTAACATTACGTCAACATTAACGACAACAACTCATGTTAAATCGACACTAACTTCCCATTTACTTGACCATAACTTAACTTACCATAATTCAGCATAATAATTATTCATTGGTACATCATAATCTATAGACCCTGTTACTGTGCGATTTCCGAATATTTCCACCCATGTGAGTTTTACTTACGAACTTTCTAACTGTTATATGTTGTCATAGCGAAACGAGTCACTTTTTCAATAAAAAATGCTGTTTTCATAGGTGGTCGTAGGGAAAAATTATTTCGATCTCGTAGTTCTGTTTTCTTTTCCTTCTTCATCATACAGAAATATGCTAGTGCCAGAGATCGTGATGAAAAAGTCGTGAAAAATTGCTTTAGCAAGACCGACTCTGGAGGCACAAAAAAAATCTATTGTTCACGTTAGGTTTCTCTCTTTGTTGAGGAGCTATCCAAATTTCCAAATTTCCGCTGTAACATGAAAGGTGCTGTCTATAAAAATATTGCTGAACTCAATTGCCAATAGTAACTAGGGTGCCTCGTTTCATCGTATTCATAAAGTATATTTTACTGCCGCAAAAGTTTGTCCCTATTCTTAACGTTTTTTGTGGTAAGATATACAGTCATTCTAGTATTTTGTATCATTCTTTTTTCTCCGTGTAACTCCTGTTTTTCCCTGTATAATGATCGAGTCATCAGTTCTTCACGAAACTAATATTCAGGATAAGATTCCAGGACATAAATAATCGATTTGAACAAAATTTCACAGAAATAGGACAAGGATTGAAAAAATTACAAGATGAACAATTTGTGCGAAATCTTTGGTGGCAGGTTTTTTTTTGCCAGTGAATGTAGAATTAAAGAAACTATAATCGTTCGTTTATAGGTATTCCGACATGGTCAGAGAACTCCAATTTGGTACTATGAGAACGACCCGTATGCTGATGAATCTTATTGGCCAGTCACCCCTGGGCAGTTAACCACAGTGAGTACACAATTCGATTGGGAAATGTACATTTCCTACGAGCGTGCGAAAAAGTAGTCTTCTGTACGATTTTTAGTTTTGAAAGTTGTACAATTATGTGTGCATCATCATTTCGTACAGCAGTTATAGGCTATTGTGAGTCGGGTTCGTCAATCTTGATCATTGTTCTTATCGACTTCGACAAGTAGTGTCGAAATTCGAATTAGGTTTGTCAATAACGCGCAAATGTGTAGGTGTACTACTTTTCAATGAAACCTGGAACATTATAGGCAGGTTGACACCATTCTAACCTTGTACGACTTGTTTATGCACACAACTGTACTTTTCCGTACGATTTTACTTTTCCGCACGAGTTTTACTTTTCCGCAAGATTTTCTCAGGGGTTATACCTTGAGAGCTCAGATATAGCCAAATATTTTTTGTACCAGCAACAATACAAGTTGGTTTTTGATCATAACAACAGATAGGGGATGGAATTTGATTAATTTTGAGTAATACCAAGATAAGTACCTTGCAACCTCAAATTTTCTAATTGGCAAAAATCAATTCATTAGGTTCTATATTGATTCAGAACCAACTGAAGAAAACAAGAGGCAATATCTTCAATTGATGTTATCAAATATAAGAGTCTCTCTGCGAGTCCATTTTCAATTCAATTCAACCAACTTGAATCATATTTTTTATATTCGATATATTTCCACAGTTTCGAATGTGTTTATTCCCTAGTGTAACTAGATCACCGAATTCCATAACGTTATCTAGCTAAGCTAAAGTCTACAAATTCGGAATGTCATATCTCCCTGGATATCTTTGATAAGAAATAATAATAATTCCAAATAAATACACGAATGCAAGATGCGCCAATGCAGTTAATATTTTTTGTATCCCTTTGATGTGGGTACTTATAGAAAGAGGTGGTAGGTATTGGAAGTTCTTCATGGGAATATTTCCATTGGCAAAGAATTCCAAAGCTCTGCCGTTCTATAGACAAACGAATTTTGGAAAATTGTTGTTCGACATATTTCAAGGTTGGCAACAAAAGAATTTGCTGACAGCGCTTGTCGAGTGAGATTGTCTGACTGGTATTGCTAGTAATGATATGATAGCAGAGATTTCTGAAGAACATCTTTCGGTGAAAATGTCGCTGACTTTTTCATGGTATTCCAATGACGTCAAAAAATTAGTGAATGTGGCATAACCCACTAGGCGAATGGCTCTTCTCTGAATGGAATCTAAAAACATCCGTGTATGTTTGGGTGCTCAACTCCATACGTGGGAACAGTATCCTAAAACAGGCCGTCTCTGAGCTTTGTAGATCATGAGAAGCTGTTGCATAGGTATATTCTTCTTTCCATATGAATTCATTCAACTTGATTCGCTCTTTTAGAATCCACAAGTGTTTGTCGAATGTAGGTACATCAGGAAAAAAATTAGCAAACGTTTTCATATGTGTTCTTGCAATTATAATGATAGCTAATTATTGAAAATCAGAACATTAGGGCATGGTTCGAATTGCATTGTTAACATCAAATGAGTTATCGTGAATACATTATATTGACATAATGCACTGCAACGACCAATTTTTTTATCAACCCCATACTCAGGTAGAGTCCGGCTAGGTCAACTTTGAATCACCACGTGATTCAACGCATATATCGATATTCAATGCATACCTTCGTGACCACGTGCTGTCCCAAAGTTAACGTGATCGGAATATATATACAAAACTTTGGAATTCCTTGACAATGAAAGTATTCCCAAGAAATTATAACTTTCAAAAGTTGTAAAAAAAAACTCCTATACTTATCCTCCTCAGGTACGCACGATGTTCCTCGAACATTATCGGGACTCCCTTTCGTGCGCTCCAAGAATTGAAAAAATACATATAGCTGATACAAACAAGAATTCATTTATTATATTCCACAGATATCGAATAATTTCTTGGTTTAATCATTGATCAAAATTTATCATGGACGAATCATATTGTAGAAATTCGAAAAAACATATCACCAATAATAGGAGTACTTCACAGAATAAGATATGAAATTTCTTTGAGTTTTTTGAAACTTATTTATTATTCCTCAATATATTATGAAATTTAATATTTGATATTTGTTTGGGGTACGGCTAGTTTATCAATTATAAAGTCATTTAGAATCCTTCAGAAAACAGTTGTCTAATGTATATATAAATTGGATTATTTGGAACCAACAAGGAACCTCTATAAACCAAATGAAATATCAGATCTTCAATCATATATGAATTTGAAATATCAACATTCATTATTTCAGTCAAACACAATTATAAACGTTCCAATTTGAATTTTTAAATTTATGCCAATACACATTCACATTCAACTAGACAAACAGACATGTTTTCCCTCATTCAAATCAAATCTGAATTTGGCAAAAAGATCTATACAGGGTGAGTCATTAGTGTGGCGAAGTGAGATAAAGGCTTTACTGTTTTAGATAGATGAACACTAATTCCAGAGATGATCTAGGATCATGAGCAGCACATTTTTAAATTATTTCGCTTCATACAGGGTGACTCAGAAATGCGTGGCGTATCAAAGTTATACTTCCTCTTCGTGAGCTGATTTTATCAATGCATCACACTTGGGGTCTAGCGAAAATGATCACAGAGATGTAGGGTGTTCAAAATCGAGATTTTTCATCTTTAGGAGTTTTTTGCGTCGAAACTATTAATTATTGGTCAAAACGGCTTTCATGTTCCTATTTTAACTTTGGATTTACTATCTACTGACATTCAATTGGAATAAATACAGGGTGGTTCAAGATTCAGCATTCTGATCACCCTTGTATCTGTTCCAATAAAAGGTCAGTAGATAGTAAATCAAAAGTTGGGATGGGGACATAAAAGCCGTTTTGACCAATAATGAATAGTTTCGACGCAAAAACTCCTGAAAATGAAAAATGTCTATTTTGAACACCCTACATCTTTGTACTCATTCTCGCTAGACCTCAAGTGTGATGCTCTGATGAAATCAGCTCATAAAGGAGAATGCAAAAATGCAATGAAATACAGGGTGTCCCATGAGAAAAAGTATGAATTTGATATGTCACGCATTTCTGAGTCACCCTGTATGGAGCGAAATAGTTCGGAAATGTGCTACTCATGATTCTAGATCATCTCTCAGATTTTTGTTCATCTATCTGAAACAGTTAAGCCGTTATTTCACACTAATAACTCACCCTGTATATTACAACGGATTATTACTTCACAATCATTGTCAACAAGACTTTAAAAAATATCAATACGGAAAAATTCAAGAAAGAACTTGAAAAATTGTTATTCGTCTGAATTTTGTTATGTCATCCATATAGAGATCATATATGTATATACTATCCCCAGCCGTATATATATACAGGGTGGCCCACGGTCGATGGTACCTTAGACGTATACGGAAAACGGTACATTGGATTATCCTGAAAATTTGGTTACTCCAATGAGTGTTTGTGATCTAACGATTCAAAATATTTTCAGCGATGCAGCGTTTCCACTTTTACCAAAAAGTAGCATCATCTTTGTTATTTCAAATGGAACACCCTGTATTTCATTGCGTTTTCAGATTCTTCTCGGAGAGCTGATTTCATCAATGTATCACAATTGGGGTCTAGCAGGAATTATTACAGAGATATAGGGTGTTCAAAATCGAGATTTTTCAATTTCAGGAGTTTTTTGTGTCGAAACTATTCATAATCGATCAAAACGGCTCACATGTCCCTATCTTAACTTTTGATTCAATATCTACTGACATTTAATTGGAACAGATACAGGGTGATCAAAATTCTGAATCTTGAACCATCCTGTATTTTTTCCAATTAAATGTCGGTAGACAGTTAAGCGAAAGTCAATATAGGGACATGTAAGCCGTTTTGATTAATGATGAATAGTTTCGACACAAAAAAATCCTAAAGTTGAAAAATCTCGATTTTGAACACCCTATATCTCTGTAATAATTCCTGCTAGACCCCAAGTGTGATGCATTGATGAAATCAGCTCTACGCTGCTTCACTGAAAATATTCTGAATCGTTAGATCACAAACGCTTATTAGAGTAACCAAATTTTCAGGATAATCCAATGTACCGTTTTCCGTATACGTCTAAGGTACCATCGACCGTGGGCCACCATGTATATATATATATATATATAAGAAGAAAGATAGTGTGTATGAACACAGAGCCAGAGTATGAAGTAAAAGATTGTAGGTTTAATCCGTTCCGTGAGTGGAATGTCAATTGGTGCAAGACAGTCTGTTTCAGCTCGCCAAGCATCATCAGTTGCACTAGGCCAAACAGACTGTCTTGCACCAATTGACATTCCACTCACGGAACGGATTAAACCTACAATCTTTTACTTCATACTCTGGCTCTGTGTTCATACACACTATCTTTCTTCTTCTTTACTCTGTCTGTGGTCCATACCACACTATCGAGGTGCACTCGGGGCACGTAGGTGTAGTAACAGAGATATCTGTACTCCTACGTCGCTGCCCGAAAAGCACGTTTCTGTCTAGTGCTAGTAGGTGGCACTGTACCAAACATCCGTATTCCGCACTGTTGAAGACTACCTGTTGGTCTTCAAATAGTGACCGGTCCGTGAGTGGATTGTCGATTGGCCTAGTGCAACTGATGATGCTTGGCGAGCTGAAACAGACTGTCTTGCACCAATTGACATTCCACTCACGGAACGGATTAAACCTACAATCTTTTACTTTATATATATATATATATATATATATATATATATATATATATATATATATATATATATATAAAATTGTTTATTCAGGAATTTACAATATAATACAAATCCTTTTCCATGGTATAAAATGATAGCAATAAATTCGCTGATAAACAAACAGGGTTGCCACAAAAGGTTTACCCTTGAGCGTGGCTACTGTTGATTTCAAGCATATTATTTATTAAAGCCTCACACTTTATACACTAGTGTATGGCGGAAATAATTATTGAAA